GAGTCCAAAATAGCTTATTAATTCTTGATCAGGCTGATACTAGATATTGTATCCAATGCATTTCAGGGGCTAAAAGCGCTTCCTCTTCCCCTTTTGGGATATATGATCATCATTGTGGTGTTGCTGTTACTCTTCTCTGAATTCCTCCTAGTGCACTGCTTGAGGTACCCCGGTGAGCATGAGTTGTGTAGTCAGAGCCACTATGCTCCCTGAACCTGTGACATTAGACTGAAATAGCTGAAGGTCCAGCCATTCTTTCTTTACTTCCAGGACTTTCAGGTCCCTGACGCCTGAAAGGTGTTACAACAGGAAATTAAAGAAAATCTAGCAGATTTTCCTCTTAGACAATTGTTCATAGACACCAACTGTCCTGGATTTTCCTAAATTGCCCTGCATCTAGATGCTCTATCAGGATGATGCTGTGCCCCGGTCTATGTCCAAGGACACAGCACTAAAGCTGCAGTCTCCGTAATCTTGCATCACCCCGTTTGGAGTTACTAGGCATGTAGAGTAATGAATAAATGTGTGTAAACTGAAGGGATTGTGGCTGCATGTGGTTCTTTTATGATTAATGGTGGAATTGCTCAGAGTTTTGATGTGATCTAGGTGGGAACGTAATCTGCACATGACCACCTGGAAGGTGGACATGTTAAATGTGGGCCTTGAGCAGGGGTGACAGTGTCCTGGGGCTGGGATGAATATGCAAAATGTAGAATTAGCCATTCATTTCTTTTTGCAAATAGAAATGGAGACTCTTCCTAGTGGTGGAAGACATGTACCTACACTAGCGTAAGAGTCAAGTCTCTTTTGTGAGAGATTGGTGAGCCAAGCAATTTGCAACAATGTCTGGGATTGCCTTACTTAAATTCAGTGTACCAAGGCATTCATGAGACTTTCATTTTCTGCATGAATATGCCACCAGAGTGTTAGGCTTGTTCTACTGGAGTTAGATGTTTTGCACATGGGCCAGATGAATCCATTCAGCATACCTGCCAACATATTTCCTCCATCCAGGCAGCCCTGGTGTGTTACAGGATTATTGATGATCTGAGTGGAAGGTATGACAAAGATGTAGCCTGCAGTATTGCATTTAAAGAGGAGCAGAAAACACATGTTGTTCACTTGCATTCCTATATGGGATACTAAACAGAGAAAATTAGTATCAGATGAAACACAAATTTGAACAAAGAGGAAGTTTAAAGAGGAGCACAAGACACATGTTTCTCACTAGTGATGGGCTGCATGTTCGAGTCGAATGTAAGTTCGACACGGACATGGGCTGTTCGTGTGTTTGTTTAACACACGAATGATACAGGCGCTCGGTGGGCTGTTTGCCTGCTGCACCCCACAATGTACTGCACTGACAGTGCATTGTGATTGGCCAAAACAACGCACCTGACCACAGGTTAAGTGCAATGCTTTGGCCAATCACAGGGCATGATGATGTCAGAAGGAGGTGGGTTGATCGCACCCCCTCGTGACATTGTCATATTATTTAAGAACTGTCATCACGGTGCAGCTGTCAGATGGTGGGAGCCAGCATCAAGGGTGGAGCAGATTTTTCTTGTTCTTTTTTCAGGTTGGCGGTGGCAGCGTGCATCGTGATTGAGGTTGAATCTACTTCAGGGACTTTTTTAATTTTTATTTTTAATAAAGGACTTGTCAAAGACTGTCTCCTTTCTTTTTTTACAATACTCTTTTTTTTTTTTTTCATGAATGGGTAGCAGTACCATGTACAGCATACTTATTCACTTGGGAGGGGCTGAGATCCGGGGGCCCCCTTGTTAAAGGGGGCTTCCAGATTCCAATAAGTTTCACTACTAAAATACCGCATGACTTAATAATATAACTCATGCGGTACTTTAGTGACTGAGTGGTATCTTACCACACACTCAGATGCGGAAATATACCGCACAGTAAATTGTCCCTGTTCAAAGTTGGTGGGTTCGAAAGTTTGGCCGCAAACCAAACAGGGGGGTGTTCAGCCCATCACTATTGCTCACTTAGGGCTCATGTACACTGCAGCTGATAAACTCACATTTAGGAGCTGTTCAGCATTTTTTTCAGCAGCCCCTGAACTAACCCTAATGTTTTCCTATGTGTCCATGTACACATCTTCGTTTACAGTCGTTTACAGGCATTTGAGTTTACAGTGTTTTTTTTTAACACAGAAAACTTGCGTTTAGCAGTCGATTTTATCAGTTTCAAACATAAAACTCTTGTAAACTAAGCAAATCGCGTTTATAAGAGCCTTTTTTCATCATGAAAAATGCATGCAAAGCGTTTTCAAGGTACTCAAATGGACAAAACACTGAACACAGGATTAGAGATGAGCGAAGTATTCAAAAATTCGATTCGGCTGATTCGGCGAATTCGAGGAATAAATTCGATTCGATGCGAATATATTCGCTGCGAATTTAACTTATAAAAGGGTGTTTCTAGGCTTCAGAGAGCCTTTATATTAGTGCAGAACACTGTACCTTTAATTTAAATGCCCTTGGAGTCTGCTGGGGAAGAGAAATAATACTGTCAGTCAGTATGACATGCAGATGAGTGCCGTCGATCTTAGAATCACCGCACACTTCACTCATTTGGGCAGTCACGGGGCCAAAACCAGAGTGTGGAGCCACAGTGTGGCGGTGGAGGCAGCAGCAATGGGAGGCCATACAGCACCCTATGACAAAAATGGAACCCACCAGCAGTGTGAGGAGACCTGAAAGTGGCACATGGCAGAGTGTGGCGATGGAGACAGCAGCAATGGGAGTCCGATTGCGCAACGGATCAAATTCAAAATCCTAACACTGACGTACAAAGCCGTCCACCATACTGCCCCGAACTACATCACTGACCTAATATCCAAGTACCACCCAGCATGCACACTCCGCTCCTCACAAGACCTCCTCTCTAGTTCCCTGGTCTCCTCCTCCCATTCCCGCCTCCAGGACCTCTCCAGGGTGTCACCCATCCTCTGGAACTCCCTACCCCAATCTATCAGACTATCACCTACTCTCCTCTCCTTTAGGCGCACCCTGAAAACCCATCTCTTCAGGGAAGCCTACACCACCCCCTGCTAACTTGCTGACCTCCTCCACTCTTCCTACCACTCCATCCCCCACAGCTATCTCCTCCTGTGCCACCATCCCCTCCCTCCTAGATTGTAAGCTCCAAAGAGCAGGGCCCTCGATCCCCTCATGTTTTGCATTGTATTGTTATTGTTCTGTCACATGTTCTGTCCCCCTTTGTAATGTACAGCGCTGAGCGAACTATTGGCGCTTTATAAATACTGTATAATAATAATAATTTACTTGCTACAGGCGCAATGTCTAGCCTGTCATTGACATGAATGAGTATGCGCCGCTGTACTTATGTATACAATGGTGCTGTCACAAACACAAGTACAGTGTAAAAACATTTGCAAAAATAAATTTTCTATTCTTTGCATACAACCATATGCTGCACTTGTGCTTATGATAGCAACACTGCAGGGGCGGACTGACAACTCATGGGGTCCCAGACAATAGGGGATCATGGGGCCCCTGTATCTTCGCCCACACTCAAGCCACTCCCAAAAAAGCCTATGAAAGGTACCAGGGACATCTCATGGGGCAGTGCCCGAGTGTCTGAATGGTCAGACTGCCCCTGCACCACTGTATACATGAGTACAGCAGCTCACAGCTCTCCATGTCAATGACAGGCTGGACAGTGCAACTTGATTGTCTGCACATGCCGGCACAGGCTCAGCTGGCCTATGTGCAAGAGCGCTTAAGCATTAATGCAGCTTTCTCCACAATTTTGCAATACATTTGCATTGATTGAAAGCTATGTGTGTTATCTACATGGTTATTGTGATTCCTGTGGAAAGGCATTCTGTGGACTCAAAGCTCCACAATCTTGAAACTGGTATCTATGAAGTATTTCTTTGAAAACAAAATGAGTACTTTTTCTGGAGGAGTCATTTAAAATTTGGCTAACTTTCTGAATACCTGGTAATTACAAATACATTCTCAAGTTTTGATTACTAGATACATTTTGGATTATATCATACTCTATGTGTATGTCTGCTGCTTAGAACTCTAACAAGATCTGATCTACCCCGACTTCTTTGCTTTCTGTTCTGCATTAGGTGATCTTTCAGTAATTTACCAATTTGCATAAATACATACCTGACTTGTTACAGTAAACAGCAAAAGTACAATATTTCAAAAAAAGTCTACCTTTTACCATGAAAAAGCTATCTCTGAGCTAGTGCAAATAGCTTTTTTCTATCTTTCATTGACTTCTTTTTTGCTTTTTTAATCAAAGACTGGGGAACTGCCAGACAATGGACCTTAAAAAAATATATTATATATATATATATATATATATACATATATATACACATACAGGCGTACCTTGGTTTACAAACGCCTCGGATAATGTAATTTTTGATTTACGAATGAAAATCCATTGAAAATAATGCTTCAGTTTACGAATTGTTTTCGCAATACGAACGGATTAATTGGTTTTCAATGCATTTACAAATTTTTTTTAATCATGTCCCTGTACAGTACTATGCCTTTAAAGTGCACTTTATAAAGAGTTTTAAACAGATGACTTTTTTTTACTTTTTGCTGACCTCCAGAATGGATTAATTGGTTTTCAATGCATTTACAAATTTTTTTTATCATGTCCCTTTATGCCTTTAGAGTGCACTTTATAAGGAGTTTTGAACAGATAAAAGACTTTTTTTTTTTACTTTTTTCTGACCTCCGGAACGGATTAATTGGTTTCCAGAGCATTCTTATGGGAAGCATTGTTTCGGTTTATGAATTATTTGCAATAAGAAAAGTCCCGCAGAATGAGTTAAATTCGTAAACAGAGGTACGCCTGTATATATATATATACACGCACACAGTATATACACCTTACCTTGGGGCCACTTTTACCAGCGTGTTATGGAATTTGATTGTGCTCTGTAAATAATGGATCTGAAAATATACTTATTAATGCCTCCTTTGCAGTTTTCCAAGATGTCCATGTGATGATCTTTGTTGGCTTCGGCTTCTTGATGACATTTTTGAAAAGATATGGCTTCAGCAGTGTTGGGATCAACTTGCTCATTGCAGCCTTTGGTCTCCAGTGGGGAACTTTGATGCAAGGCTTATGGCACTTACATGATGGAAAAATTGAGATTGACATCAAAAGGTAAACTGATCTAGAATATATACTGTGTAAGCATTAATTAAAACCTGTGTTATAATCCCCACACTGGAAAAAAAAATCACTTTTAACCATAGAAGCTGGAAAAATTAACACACCCCCTGGTGCTATAAAAGAACATATAAATATACCAGCACTACATCAGTAATAAACATGTGCTCTACCCATCCTATAACTCAGTGCAACAATATATACCAAAATGTATCAAACCCAATCAATAAATAAGGTGCAACAATCACGACACGTCATCAGTGAATATAATATATGTAAAAAAATCCAAAAATGTCATGAAACTTCTTCAGTGAAAATAATGCACAAATCAATCTTGAAACTTTATCAATGATTAAATGTTCATAAAAAAAAAGTAGGTGTTCCACTCCTCAAAACCCCAAATGCTCTCCCACCGCTTTGCTCTTTAAATGAACAAAAGGCTCACCAGATTCTCATGACCCCTTATAAATATGCGAGTCCAAAAATGCTCTTCACAGGTAAACTAAATATAGCAGGCAGGACATCCAGACTTCTCCCCTCTCCTTCAGGACTTCCCATCTCCAAACCCTTTAATCTACTCTTCTGGTTGTGGCCCTAATGCTCATTTTATGCTCCTCAACCCAGTACTGGCATTAAAACACAAACATCTCCATAGTGTAGCATGTATAAAATCAAAAGCACTGTATCAAAAAATACTATTCTCACATAAAAGTAGAAACAACTGTCTCTTTATGAACTAGAATCCTGGTACTTCCGGGTGCCCCTGCTTATGATGTCACTTCTACTCAACGCATTTCATCATTACAACTTCCTTAATATATCATAATGAGATCCTGAGGATGGAACTATATATTGTTGCTCTCAGTTTATATATTGTTGCACTGAGTAATAGCATGAGTAGATCATGTGTTTATTTAATACTTTTTGATTTTTTTTTATTTTTCTTGATTTTTTTGTGGTTAGGACTAAAGAAATACATTTAAGATGTATAGAAGATAAAGCTATGAATACATAGTATTTTTACATGCAGTCTATTTAATCAGGAGATGCACTAGAGTTTGCTGTTATATGTACAGTATATGTAGTTATAGACTAACTGCAGCCATTTATTTTGTTTATTTCAGTTAATAAAACATTTCTAAAAATCAAATAAATTAAACAAAAGTCATTATAGGGCCATTATTGCAAACAGGCTTGTCAATAGACTTTTTTTTTTTACAACAGATAGAAGGTAAGTACAATGCATTTTTCGTGGTTTAGTTAGTTTAGTTATTTCTGCAATATAGTTTTAATGTCATGTTTAAATCTCAACACCAGTAAAGCCCCATTCACACCAAAATAGTGATTTCTGAGAAATGGTCTTGACAATGTTCAGACAATCATTTCTGGATAAGAGAAACCACAGATGTCCCAACTATAACAAGATTATAAAATACCAAAAGAATTCAAGAACAGAAAAACAGTTATAGAGGAACTCTTGATATAAGAATGAGAAGATGATCTGATTCCATATTGTTCACATCTTTACACTGCCATGTGGTGTTTTTACAGTATGTTTTTATAGAAGCACCATTCATGTGAATATCTCCCCCCCAGGGGCGGACTGACCATTTGGAAACTCGGGCGCTGCTCGAGTTCCCGGAGTCAGTAGGGGGCCCCATGAGATGCCCCGGTACCTTTTGCATAAGCTTTTTTGAGAGTGGGCAAGGACACAGGGGCCCCATGATCCCCTATTGCCCGGGGGCCCCATGAGTTGTCAGTGCACCCCTGCCCACCCCCCTCTAAAAATACACTAAAGAAGCTCATGTACACTGAGCATGTTTTGCATTGGGCATTTTTTGTGTGTTTTGTGCACGTTTTGACAAAATCTGTAGTAAAATGTGCAACAGCTACCCATTGTTGGGGTGCCATTAGAAAATGTTAGCAGAAATGTAGGCAAAAATTGCATTTCCCACATTTCTGTTAAGCCCAGATGTCAACAAGGCCTAAAGCTAGTAAAATAGTCCAAAGAGTAAAGTTTGATAGGTCTAGCTACCATTTAGAAAATCACAATGAAATCAAATTTTCATAATCTAACACACATGTAAAACTGCTGACCTTGCAGTAATAGCACTAGCAATCTGAGCAGGGGCGGACTGACAACTCATGGGGCCCCTGGGCAATAGGGGATCATGTGTCCTTGCCCAAACTCAAAAAAGCCTATGAAAAAGGTACCAGGGGCATCTCATGGGGCCCCCTACTGACCCCGGGCCCTCGGGCAGTGCCTGAGTTTCCAAATGGTCAGTCCGCCCCTGAATCTGAGTACATGTAGCCCACTAAAACTTATCTCCCAAGTTCAGTCTCAGGCTGGGTCTTTTTTGCATAGTTGCTAAATTCTGAGGTGCCAGTCAGAGCCTGCCCAACATGGAAGCTGAAGAGGATCCACCTGGGACAGGAGAGAATATATAAACTTTATTTTCACTAGCACAGTATTGGTCATTCAAAATAAACATAGCATCATGTTATTTTCTAACATTAACTACTTGCCTACAGGGCACTTATACCCCTTCCTGCCCAGGCCAATTTTCAGCTTTCAGCGCTGTCACACTTTGAATGACAATTTCACGGTCATGCAACACTGTACCCAAATGCAATTGTTTATCATTTTTTTTCACACAAATAGTACTTTCTTTTGGTGGTATTTAATCACTGCTGGGTGTTTTATTTCTTGCGCTATAAATAAAAAAAGAGCAAAAAATTTGAAAAAAAAAAGCTTTTCTTTGTTTCTATTATACAATTTTGCAAACAGGTAATTTTTCTTATTCACTGATGTGCATTGATGAGGCTGAACTGATGGGCAGCACTTATGGGCACTGATAGGCAGCACTTATGGGCACTGATAGGCAGCACTGATGGACACTGATAGGTGGCACTGATGGGCACTGATAGGTGACACTGATGAGGTGGCATGGATAGGCAGCACTGATAGGTGGCACTGATGATGCTGCAATGATATGCAGCAATGATGGGCACTGATAGGTGGCACTGATAGGCAGCACTGATGAGGTGGCACGGATAGGCAGCACTGATATGTAGCACTGATAGGCGGCCCTGATGAGCTGGCACTGATGATGATGCACTAATATGCAGCAATGATGGGCACTGATAGGCAGCACTGATGGGCAATGATGGGTGGCACTGCCTGATGGCACTGACTGGCAGCACTGATGGGGGGCACTGCTGGGCACTGGTGTGTGGCACTGCTGGGCACTGATCATCAGTGCCCTGATGATCAGTGCCGATCTCTTTTCTGACAATTGCCGCTTCTCTGCAGTACTTTCCTCATGCTGTGACAGCGTGAGGAAAATGCAGCCGACAACCAGCAACTGCATTTACCCGGTGATCTGTGGTGTCATTGGACACAGCCGATCACGTGATAAAAGGTCGCTGTGTTTGGCCTTTTACCATATCACGTGATCAGCTGTGTCCGTTGGACACAGCGATCACGGAGATTGCCGGGTGTCCATAGGACACAGCGATCACGGAGACAGCTGGGTGCGTACCGCTGGGGGCGACCAGGAGGGCATGTTCTGGGAGGATGTCATATGGCGCCCTCCCAGAACTGGAAAACCACGCTGTAGCTGTCTTCCGGCTATAGCCCGGTTGTCAAGTGGTTAAATAGCCTTTACTCTTCCAGTAAATCAACTTCTATGGAGGTACTGTATTCACTAAATTAGGTAAAATTTAGGTAAAAAAGTCTCTAATCTGCTAATTAGATATGGATGCAAAACTGCACCTCCCGGGGTATAATACCAGAGAAAATATCAATTCATGAAAACAGTATTTTATTGTTACCATATACATTTCACAAACAGATATTATAAAAAGTTTTTAAAATAAATAACCATATATCTGTTCATGACATCCTAATTTTATGGAAGAACCACTTCCTTAGGGCCTTGGATCTTGTTATACACAAACTAGGACAGAATATATATAGCTAATGACATCATGTAACAATCACAACATTCTAAGCAATCATATACAACATTTTTTTTTTAGAAAATATAGATATAGTTAATGTAATTCACCCCAATTAGAATTTACCCACTCTGAACCGTGAAGGCAAACTCGGAAAGGTCCCAAAAGAAAGATGGAGAACTTTTATATATATATATATATATATATATATATTTAATAATATATAAATATATATATACTGTAAGTATGTTACCTTATATTCACATGTGCGATAATGTGGGTATCCGATCACAAACGCCTGCTAATTAACCCCTTGGTATTACAGTTACTTAATGATTTAGCCTTGTTCCAAAGAATTGCAGTTCACATTACAGTTCAATTGACAGGCAATGCCCCCTACTCTCTCCCCTTTTACTTCCTCCGCTGGTTTCCCATCCTCAGTAAATTGACACAGAAAATCATCAAGGTCCACCTTAAATCTCTTCAAAACATTTTTGACCGTTAGCTCACACATCGCCTGTGAAAAATCTCTTTCTCCTTCCTGTAACCTCTGCCACTCTTGACATCACTCACTCCTGAACTTTGGCGGTCGCATGCAATAGTTTCCTGGATTTCTGAATGCTCAATTGATGCATCTGGTCATTGCGGAAAGCTACAAATGATAGAGATCCTGTAGGAAAAATACCCTTTTCCATTTTATCTACTATATTGTTATTGAGAAAGAAATTGGCTTCAGTTTATAAACTAGAGTGACATGGCACAGGTACTACAATTAGTATAAAAGGAAGGCAAGAATATACTTCATCACACATTAAATCTGAACTGGCAGGATATGGGAAAGATTAAACACAATCTTTTTTTAATTACTATCCACTTTATTTATAAATGTAAAATGATTTAAATGTGGATCCTAAACTAAACTTAAAGTAGAACTAAAGGCAAAACTATTTTTTTTTTTTATGGATAGGTTAAGAGAGGGTTTTAACTCCTCTCAGTTTTGTTTTGACCATCTCTGTCCGATTGGGGAGATGGGA